TGGGAAGGCTACTTCCCCTGTATTGATAAGCAGACTTTGTCTGGTTAGACCCAGACTTAAAGTTTTATGAGGCCTGTAAGCCTTTTGGCCCCCAACATAGTCTGTTTGTAGATTTGAAGTTCTTCTGTAACCTTTCTAAAATGGGTGATCTTGCTGGTATTTGAAGCACCAATGACATTGTTTCTAGCATCACAGCAACACATAGATACCACAACATAACAAACTGGCAGATGAGGGAGACCTTTTTCAGTATTCAAATTACAAAGTGTGCCTCATTTTTTTGTAAACCCAACCCACTGTGACTGAGTCTATTCTGACAGGTTGGAAACCCCTCATTGGAGAGTCTACCTTCCCCCCACACCCTCTGAAATTAAGCTCCCTCTTGAAAACTTGTAAGCCAGTCACTTCGTGCCTTCATAGCCTCCCATTTTGGATAGCCAATTTCTAAGTTGCTCATCCGTGTCAACCCTGTGTACCGAGGGGTTGGGAATGATCCTCTCTGTAAAGATTTGTTCTTTATGAGCTACTACATCCATAAGTATTGGTCAAGTTCATCAAATTGTGGCAGATTATACTTTTTTTTTCATCTTCTTTCTTCTTCTAGTTGAGTTCTCATTATCCAGTCATTGAAGCTAGGTCAAATGGGTACTATCTGAAAGTATGGGTGTTCTTGTGCATCTCCCCTCACTTCATATCAACTGGATGTTTCATTCTCCACTCTAGTCCTCTGTGACTATGTCCCTGTGCTTGGGCTTGGGAATCCCCGGGTTTACTATACTGCTGGCCAAATAGGTCTCAATACAGGTTGAACGGAGTCTGTTGAACCTGGTCGGACTTAGCTCACAGCTTCATTGCTGTTTTCCCCTCACTTTCCCTTATAGGTGGACCAGTGTGGTCACCAGCAAGATTACATGCCTGCTCGTGTATTCTCTTTTGAGTTTCAGTCTTGGAAGTGGTTTGCCCTGAGGGGACTTGTTTTCTTGCCTTGATGGCTCCCCAGCAAACAACTTGCTTGTTCTTATAGTAGTCAGTCAGACTGCTGTTATTATTTTTGATTATTCCTGCTGGTCTTTCTTTCAGGAAGTATTTTCTGTTCCTCTATAAGCTTGTAAATCTTTATGGAACCAGACTACTATATCTTTCTGTTCCTGAGAAGTTTTGAACCACCAACCTTTCTGTTCATTGTTGTTAAGTATTAAGTTGTTATTAAGTGTCATTGAGTCGTTTTTGACTCATAACGACCCTGTATAGGGTTTCTGAGGAGAGACCGGTGTGTTTGAACCACCAACCTTGTGGTTCAAACCAACCTCGTGGTCCAGTGCATATCCTTTGGTGCCACACATGACTCCTTTCTGTTAGTAGCCCCACATTTAATTCACCACACCACTAAGGCGCTATCTCTCTCTCTCTCTTTTTTTTTTTTTTTTTTGTGGTATTGGTAATGCATGTTGTTGGAGTGTGGTATCAGGGAGACAGAGCACTAGCTTTTTGGTCCTAATCTGTTACTTTGTAAATGACTGTAAACCCACCAATAATTACCCTCATTTGAATGTGACTTTTCTCTCCAAAGAATATACTGTCATGATGAGAAAGTGAGTGTTAATTTTTGTTTTTTTTTTCAAATGAGAGCAGTAGTTCTTTAATTTTTAGTAAGCTCCTTGAGGGGCTCTGTAGGAACCTTGGAGGTGAAGCATTTGGCTTCTAACAGAAAGGTTGCCAGTTTAAACCACCAGCTATTTGGAGGTGGTCAGATGAGTCAGTCTGCTTCTGTAAAGAGTTACACCCTTGAAAACCCTATGCCCAGTTCTTCTTTGTCCTTGTAGGATTGCTAGGACTTGGAATTGACTAGATGGCAATGACTTTGGATTTAGTGAGAGCTTTGTATTCTGTATCATTTAGAACAATGATTCGTATCCCTGGAACAGTGACTTTGAGAGATTCTGAAAAAAACAACACATTAAATACTGATTTCTGTAGGTGATTTTTATAATGCATTCCAAATCTGTGGTCTAAAATAGGTAAGTTTGAGTTTTCCCTTCAGAGTATATTAAATGAAGGATCCCTAGTGGTGTTGTGGGCTAAGCACTTGATTGTGTAACCATAAAGTTGTAGGTTTAAATGTACCAACTGGTCCACAGAAGAAAGATGAGGCTGTTTGCTCCCGTAAAGATTTACAGTTTCAGAAACCCTAAGGAGTAGTTCTTCTCTGTGGTGTACGTATTGGAATCAACTCGATGGGTGGGCTTAGATTTTTGGTTTTTATATTAAATCACTGTAATAGGAGAGAGAGTACTTGTGTTGCAAAGATAGTCCCTAAATGATACAGCTTAAGGGTATTATAAAAATTATCATGCTGCTATATAAAGTCCGTATTTGGACTGTGTCCTAAGTATTTATTTATTTTTGGTAGAACATTCATAGTTCTAGACAGAAATACATAGTTAGGATAAGTGAAGATTTATCTGAAAATATTTTCTATTATGAGACCAAATTCACAGTTCCTGATCAGTTGGCGCCTTTTTTTTTTTTTTAGCCCAATGTCACCATTTGCCCTTTTTTCCCCCCATAGTATTAAAGAATATGAAAATAAGTGTTGTTGTTTTATTTCCTCCAAATTTTAGTTACAGTTTGCAGTTTTCTAATGATTTTGCAGCCCTTCTGGTACTATATTGTATAAAGAAAACAATTGGGTACATGCTTTAATAGCCAGTGGATTTGACTTTACTATCTTGCTTATAACAGAATCTATTGTTACCTAATTTTGTAATAATTTTATCATAGTAGCTTAACATCTCTTATAATTTTAATTGTTATCAAGAAGAATGACATAATTTAATTTTACTCAAAATTCAGAAGGATGGATGAATGACAAATTAATAATTTACCACCTTTGCATAATACTGAAGCATAGAATATTAGAAGGATTGATGGCAGAAAAGGTTAACAAATTTTAACAGCTTTCATTAGCTTTACATCGTCATATGTTTGTGGTGCTGACTGAAATAGGCTTTGTAGGAGATCTCAGTCTAGGGAACTAATTACTTGTGCCGATTGCTGCACTGATGAATAGACCCTCATTGTATCATTCCCCTGAAGACGAGGAGCAGCCTGTGATTCACGACTGCATCCTGGCTGATATTTGATAATAATTTTAACAGATAAATGTAGGTAGGCAGAATGATGAAGTACCTATCCAAGCTCCACGACTATCAAAGCCTTACACATAGCCATCTGTGTACCGCCTTTTCCCCTCTCGAACAATCACCTAAGGAGAATTTTATGTTATTAATTGAGCTCCAATCACTGTTGTCTCTTGCCTATATTTATATACTGTGGGTATTTTAAATTATTTTTAAATGATACCTTAATAAGGATGTTTATTTAAAATTTAGGCAGCAAAATAATGACGATCCGTAGATAAGAAAAAAGCTTTTTTGTTTGGTTGTTTTTGAGCACTAAGGTTGTTACACTATTTTGTTTTCCATTTTGGTTATATCATATCTCCTCTCTCCTCCTCATGCATGATCAACAAAGGAAATCTTTGATGTTGTTATTTTCTCTCTAGCACTCTCAGAAATAAGGTTCTTATTGCTTTTTAAATACTTTCTTTGAACAAGATTTGCCTGTTAACAATATCAATACTTTTATTAATCTAAAACTTTTAAAAAAAATTAATATAAGTAGTTACTTAAAAATCTATTTTGAATCTTCAATATGGCATTTTTAAGCCATCAAAATAAATGTAACTTTTACTTGTATATTTTGGGTCAGTTGGTCAAAATTTCTAATTTGTCAGATCTGACAGGTACACAATTTTATTAGTGTATGAACTATAACATTTTATTTCATACTAGTCATTCTTATAGAAGTTTTAGTTTTGAAATAAAATTTTTATTTCATTATTGAAACTTACAGGAGTTTCCTGCTGTATATTGTCAGTGAATTAAAATATTCTGCAGAGATTTTTTTTTTCTTACTAAAACTAAAAAAATTTTTCATACTTGTATTTTCCCTACAAAATATTTTCCAGCATGCTAGATTATGATTAGCTAACAGGAGAGAAAGTTGACATTTATATCTTGCCACATAAAAGATCTACATAATTGGGGAAAATATAGTAGAACTTAAAATGAGTGAACCCTTTTTTTAAAATATACATTTACAATAGTATGCTTTCGATATAGCAATTATTGCACATCATATAGCATGTAGTTTTTAATTAAATATAAAAACAGACTACATAAAACAGAAATCCAATCTGATTTGCTTGAAAATAGATTGCTATTTCACTCTACAGGAATGGTTTATTTAAAAACAGTAAATGGAGAAGAAATGCATTTTCTTGTGTTGTTCTAAGCCTCAGGGGCTAAATGTAATGAATATTTTAAGAGATTATTTTAATTAAATTCCTACACATCTAAACAGAGTAATATTTTATTATCACATACATAACCATGTAACTGAGATATTCATTAAAGTTAACACTTTCTGGACCAAGAATTCATGGTATGATTTACTGACCTTGTGCAAAAAGGCACAAATTAGGAAGAAAAATGAAGGGGGACAGACTTTGATTAATATAGGTAATGCTATACCATATTTATAATAGCCTTTTCCCTATTCTGGTTTATAAATGCAGCCACAGAGAAAGGTGCCCTGCTGAGGCTGAAATGAGGCTGAAATCAGAGCACATGCCACTGGAGTGTGGGGAAACTGATCACACTGTCAGCAATTCATTTCAAAATGATGTATTTAGTGCTCATTTCACCTTCCAAGAAAAAGGGAAAGGAGTTCCTTAGACTAGAAGGTGATATTGTTATTTTCAAGGACATACCTAAGTTAAAGATTGCAAAAACGGGGAGTGTGAGGTGGAGGGAGAATTAAGAGGAAAGGGAGGGGGTAAAAAGGCAGAGCAAACAAGGAGAGCTTTATGCAGAAAATCAGTGCTACCACGCTGTTTTATAATTGCTAACATATGTGGCTTCTCTGTTTCATTGTAGTCGTCCTCGTGAGTTCTGGCGCCTTGACTACTGGGAAGATGACTTGCGGCGCCGGCGACGATTTGTGCGTAACCCTCTAGGATCGACACATCCTGAAGCGACACTAAAAACAGCCGTGGAACATGGTCAGTGTGCAAACCAGTTCTTGCCAATAGCAGCAGGTACAGTACTTGGTAATGAAGAGCATAACTTCATTATTACAAGGCACTGTAAAATGGTCCAACACTATATTTCATAGTTATTTACCCCAGAAAGAGGAGTTAAATTTTTTATAGTGATTGTAGGGGACTATAAACTTATGGTGTCAAGTGTATTTATTTATTTATTATGTTACACATGCAAAACTTACTTAACATGGACCCTTTGTTTCCTAGTGGGAGGAAAATATATTTCTCCTTTCATGTAACACATCCAGGTTGAGAAAATTATACTAGGAAGACTGCCTTAAATCCATGAATATCAGAAAGACTGCATTTATAGATCAAATAGGTTCCCAGGTTCTGTCATGCATATATGGTTTTCCCCCACCATAGTCTTTTAGCATGAGATTCTGAAATAGGAGAGGTGGTAATAAATGTCCACGTGCAGAGACACTTTCTGAACCTTGATTTGTAGAGGGCTGTGACAGAAGAGTCTTAGAAAAAGAGAATAAACATTATTTTCATATGTTCCTGTTCTGCATCATCTTGTTATCAGAGCTCAACAAAAGAGTTTTCCTTTTTTGATATTGTGCATATCACTATGATTCACTTTTGGTAGAAGTCAGATAAGCAAATTGGAAAAACTGAATAGGTCCACTGATGAATACTTTGGATTTGTGCTATACGTTCTTTGAACATAGAATATTATTTATTGTTTTATGACTTTTGAAAGCTAATTAAGATATACAGATTAAGGGGCAAAAAGGCCCTCCTAATTTAAAAGTTGTTTGTATATTTCAGAATATAAATTGGATAGTTTTTAATCACATAGGAAGTAGTTTTAATTCCCCTTTTTTCAGCTTATTAGCTTAATGTACAGTAATTTATGGTGAAATTATATACAGAACACAAAATAAATGTTTAACACCTTTAATAAGAATATTAAGAATTTAGATTAAAATCTGTAATATTTGGTTTGGCCTCAGTCAGGCAGTTTAACCTCTTGCACTCAGCCCTAAAGAGCCATTTCTGGGAGAAAATGTCCACAATATGTCATCAGATATAACACCAAATGTGACATCAGTCCTTTAAAATAAATGACCATACAGAGAATAGTCAATAACAAAGTGATCTAAAAGCAATAATAGTCCCAGGGCCCTACATCTTCAGCTACAGGAGGTGGAGAAGGAAAAATAAGATGTAGAATTAATTAGGCCACTTTTACTTTTAGGATTCGTATTCTTTTTATGTGACACTACATATGTGAAATTCAATAATTAAGTGTTATTTTCTAAATTATATTTTAATAGTAAGCTTGCAATTTGAGGACTTGTGCCTGGGAATAATATTGCTATAAACATTTTCCTTTTTAGATTTGGAAAAGAAGGACTGGTTTTCTTAATTCACACATAAAGTGTTAATCCTTTATATAGGAGATATATCACTAACTGACTTTAAAATTTGTGGCATAAATTCAATGTAGAACCTACTAAAATGCATCCTTATCAAAATAAGAAAATTTATGCATTTTGAGGAGTTCTAGGATTCTTCATACTGAACAGATTAAAATTGTATTGTTGAACTTTACCTTTTAAAATAATTGTGTTTGTTTTGTAAGGCTAAGACTCTGCAATGGTATTGGATATAAAGATGTTTATTAGCATCAGTTACTGTAATTTAAGAGGTGAAACATCCTATATAGAAGCAGATTTCACTCAAATTAGTCTAAGCCGTAGTTGAAGGATTAATACAAGATTAATTAGTTATCTGTTTATTATTTATTGTAAAATCGAGAGAAACAAAGTTAAAGTATTTTATGTGACTTCATCATATTTAATTCAGCATTTCATATAAATCTTACAATAAGTAATATTTAAAGCAAATTATGACAGTTTAAAAATAAAAATTATCGGAAATCTGTATGTGTATATTTTAATGAAACAAAATTAGGACATGCTTCAGTAGTCTTACTAGTAAGGAGTTGTGGCATCTTAAATTTAACATTTTTTTAAAAAAATGACACATGCTCATGAATCATACTTTGTATATATTCTTATTGGAAAATGAGAATATATCAGTTAATTTCTGAATTCTACACCCAGATTTTACTATGGTATTATTTAATATCAGTATAATTTAATATATAATCTATATCAAATAAAGCTCTTAGTTTTTAAATATTAAATAAAGTGTGCCACTCTTAATCTCAGTTAATTTAAAAATATTATCTTTACTTTTTGAAACATTAATAAAGCCAATCAGAATAAATGTATTTAGAGTCAGGTATGCTCAATAAAATAGTTAATATGATTTTTAAATTAATTGAAATTAAGAACTTAACATAGATAACACTGAAATATTTAAAATAGGTTTGACTGAGGATAGTATGTCAGTTTATTTTGTTTTCTGAGTTCGTCTCACTTTTATTTATAATTGATTCAAGGAAGGAAGGAGACAGGACCTTTTGACAACACAGACTTTTGGAACATCATGAGCAATACTATCATTATCAAAGGAAGACATCTAAATAGAAGTGCACTTGGAGATTAGTTATGTATTTTAGTAGTGAGAGCCATCTTTTTTATAGATTGACTTGATTTGAAGGAAAGCCTCTGGTGTAAAGGTGGCAGAGTAAATACCTGAAGAGTGATGTTCTCTGTTCAGGCGATCAATACCAGCCCCATGACTCTACTTCTGGCTACCTTCTAGTTAAAAACAAATTTTTTAATTCTGACAATTTAATTGCCCTTCCCAAGTTCACATTAACTTGCTTGGGGAAAAGAGCTTTAGGTAATTTTTCAAAAAGAGACCCTCCAAAGTGGTTATTTATAAAAGTCATGTTGTAATGGGAGATTTCTTTAACTTTGTAGAACTGAGTCATATTTTAAAATTAAAATTAAAATTTCCCTGTAATGCTTATGTATTCTTTATGGAAATTAACAGCAACAAGCAGAGATGAGTATTTAATTCTTGCGAGCGTTTCTTTCTATATTATAGTTTTAAGGTTTATTAGAAATCAGTTGTAATGATTCCAAATATTCTCCTAATGCATAGAACCCAGATTGTCAGTTATTTATTACTGACATTTTAGATCTTGAAGGGAAATAAGGCTGAAATCTACTCCAACTTTATTCTTCACAGATAGGGAAACTGAGGATCAGAGACTATATGTAATTCATTGCAAATGTTGGGCTAAAACCAAATTTAACTGACTCCTAGTCATAATTCTCATATCATTGTACTGTGCTGTCTTCTTAAGTTCATCGTTAAATATGATAGGAATTTTATATTCAGATTGAAATCTTATATAAATATTTGAAATACTAGAAAGATTGGTTTTAATTCAGTTATTAAAACAGCTTAACAGTAGCATTCTATTGAATTCAAGGCATTTCATTTTGTACTATATATATGTATGTATGTATGTATATATATATATATATATATACACACACACAAACACACACACATATTTACCAAATATGAAAAAGTTTAACATAGTTTATAAAGTATTTTGAAAGCATATGTTGTTGTTAAGTGCCATTGAGTCAGTTGTGACTCATAGGGACCCTGTATAGGGTTTCTGAGGCTATAAATCTTTGCAGGAGCTGAAAACTTCATCTTTCTCCCAAGGAGTGGCTGGTGGGCTTGAACTGCCAATCTTTTGGTTCACAGTCCAGAGCTTACCCTACAAAGCCATTGTAAGTGTATAGAAGAGTACAGATAAGTAATCTGGTTTTCTATGGATGACAGACCATGTAAAAATCTAAAATCCTGCCATTTGCTCATAACATCCATAATTTCCCATGCTTTAGTGGAGTCCTGGTGTGGCATTGTGTTAATGCACTGGACGGACTGCAAAGTCAGTTTGAACCACAAGGTCGGTGGTTCAAGCTCAACAGTCACTCCTAGTAAAACCTATACAGGGTCGTTTTGGGTGGTAACCGACTTGACAGTACAACAACAATGCTTTAGTAATTAATGTGTACTAGGTTCTCTCTCCAAAACTTTTGGGAAATCTATAATGCACTTGTTCTCCTAATCATTTTTTGTAGTTTTACTACTTGGTAGTTTTGCTAACCTTTCTCCAGTATGTTTTCTGTATTTGGAACCTTGTGGAGAAAGCACAAACTGTATAAAGGGGAATTAATTGGATCCGGACAAGAGTTGAATACAAATATTCTTTTTATGTATCATACGTAAGATCCTATTATGGTGTGTGCTTCACAGTCCATGAAGTGTACACCCACTTTTATTTTGTGAATATTTGAGGTCACTTTGTTATTCTGCTGCTGTTTTGTTAGGTGTCAATTCATATTGACACTGTGTACAACAGAAGTTAACACTGCCAGAATCCTTTGTCATCCATTGTTTTGTTTGAGTGCGTAGTTACAGTCGCTGTCACTGTATCAGCCCATCTCTTTGAGGGTCTTCCTATTTTTTGCTGACCAGTCTTGAAGTGTGTCAAGTCAAGATTCTTAGCCAATCTTTACGAATCTTGAAGACCTTTTCCTTTAAAACACACACGCACAATAAAATTGCTAATTTTTCATATGCAAACTTCTTTTTCTATAACATTGACTATTGATGATTTGAGTTCAATGACTCAGTGAACATTACAAAGGAGATTTATATGTCATATGCGGAACAGGTTTTCAGTGTTCTTTTTCGTTTTTAATTTTACTTACCTAGCCTGTTAGATAGATAAATCAGCTCATGCCCAGAGCTAGCTCTGAGCCTAAAGCCAAAGAACTTCAAGTGAACATTTTGAGCACCAGCCTTCTCCTCGGCCCTCTCGTTGCTCTTGGCTCAGTGAATTAAGAGCCATGTTTCAAGAAAAGCATTTTTGATGAGTCTCTATAATTTAGGTAACATTTGAAGTTTAATTATTAAATTGGGGTAGATATTAAATCAGAGAAGATGAAATGAAGGCAGTCTGTTTAACAGTAACATGGAAAATTTAAGCAGGTATCATTTTCAGTAGCCATTATCTGAATCAAGCTTTAAAATGGAACCAAAGTATGTTTTGGTTTCATCCAGTTTAACATTCAGACTATTGTAAAATATACTCACAGAAGAGATCAAAATAGTTGATATTTATTTGTAGTAGTTGATTGAGTATAAGACAGACGGAAGTTAAAAATATTCTTTTCTCAGCATGCATAAACATGATCATTATCTTTTACTTTATGCTTGGGACAATTTTGTTCTAATTTTGAAGAAAAAAAAAGTTCTTCAGCAGAAAGCTATTAGACCACTGAGAATTGACCACTAGCCCATGTGGTGTGTATTAGGGTACTGTTGGTAATTTTACTGCTGCTAACTTAAAATCCTCAAGGGGGAGTTAATTACAGGAAAACCATTCTAAATATCAGTAAGCTGCATATTTTCCATGACAAGAGGTTTTTCTGTTGAGGTTGAACAATTCCAGAATCTGAGCTTGTAAAAATAAGTAAATAAATAAATTAAAGTGGGTGTTTGTATGCACAGTACACCTAAAGTACTCCTAAATTTTTTTTCATAAAACTTTATTTTAATTCAAAAGTTGTTGTATTTTATGAGTCAGGATATTACGACTATGTGTCTAAACTTCTAAAATTCTAGTTGGATGGCATAATTTAAATTAAAATTTTATTTAGGTGCTTATGTAAATGATTGTAACTATTTACTGAGATCTTTTAAATCACTGTCTATTGCCACTGGGTATTCTCTTTTTTGTAAATGTTTGCAGATTAAAGGCCTTTTTTTCTTTTCTAAATAAGCTCCTGGTACCTCAGTGCATGTATGGCAATAATCAGAGAAAGTGAAGTACAAGGTGTCGAAGTTAATTGTGCTTGGCATATGCTTATCAAATTTAAGTTTGAAAATAAGTTTTTTTTTCTCTATATGTTTATGCTAATTCTGATTTAACTTTGTTTTCAAATGCATAATGGAAGCATAATTAGCGAATTAATGGGAAAATCTTATATATGTATGTTAAGAGGGAACTTCAGAAAGTTCCAGGAAAAATTCTGTTATCTTCTAGTTCCATTTATCTATGACCTTTTGAAATCGCCTTATATGTGTGTTACTTTTTTTATTGTTTGTTTCCTTATATCCAAGAGCTAGTCTGATCACAGCATAGTCACTGTTCTCAGGATTCTAGTGTTATACTTCCTGGATTTACATCCTGATTCCATTTCTCAGAAATTGTATTAATCCGAGCCTGTTTATTCTTCTGAAAATTAGAAATTAGTGCAGGATTTATGAAAACTAGTAAATTAAAATATGTGTGTATTTTGAACATTGACATATGGCAAGTGCTAGATAATATTAGCCTTTATTTCTGTGAACATTATTATTTCCTTTCTGAAGAAGGCATTTAAATTCATGCATTGAAGACAATGTAACATATCGATTCTGTACTAAAATCGAACTAGAAATTGATAATTTATTATAATTTGTGTTACAGGAAAACCTAGAAGATGGTACTTGCTTTTGTATTTCTCAGCAATCAGTTTATGTTTTGTAAAGTTGATAGAAAATTGGAAAGGATATTGAGTGAACTAAGGGCAGTCATTCTGATTTCAGAGAAGGGAAATATAAAATAATTGAAATAAATACAATGATATAAAAAATTGTACTGCTATTTTCCTGAAAGTTACTGGTTAAGTACTGGTATATTTTGAGGCGTTTTTGAAAATAAGATATTCATTAGCTACTTTAATCTTTTTCAGATATTATTGAGACTTTTATGTGCAACACTGTGTTGTATACAGGAATCAAATATGATTTCACTTACTCATGTAAGTTACTCTTAACTAAGGGCCCCCAGTGGCACAGTGATTGAAGCATCTGGCTGCTAACTGAAAAGTTAGCAGTTCTAACCTACCAGCCACTTTATATGGGGCAAAGATGTAGCAGTTAGATTTCATAAAGCTTTGTTGTTGTGAGTGCTGTTGAGTCATTTCTTCATACCACCACTGTATAGGGTTTCCAGGGAGCAGCTGGTGGGTTTGTACCACCAACCTTGTGGTTAGCAGTCTAGCATTTATCCAGCAGCACCACATCAGGATTCCTTGGAAACCCTACAAGGTCAGGTCTCTATGAGTTGGCAATTAACTCAATAACTATGAGTTTGGTTTTGAGTATTCTACTCTAAATACAGGAAACTTTTTTGCGTGACTTCCTTGTGTAATAGAAAGTAAATAAAGAACAGTGCCCTAAGTTGTTGTTGCTGTTAAGTGCTGTCGAGTTGATTTTGACCCATAGCAACCCAGTATAGGGTCTCCCAGGAGCAGCTGGTGAGCTTGAACCACACACGGACTTTGCTGTCTGACACATTAGCCCACAGCACCACACCAGGACTCCAGTGCCATCAGTAGTGTATATAAATTGTATATATGTTGAACTCACACTGAATATGATAAAAATGAAGTCCCAGTGTGGCACTATAGGATAAGCAGTAGACTGCTAACTGCAAGGTTGGAAGTTCAAACCCTGCCACCACTCATTGAAATTATTGTTGCTGTTAATTGCCTCCAAATCAGTTCCAACTCATAGCCACCCTATATGGAGTTTCCTAAGAGTAGCTGGTGAGTTTGAATTGCCCATTTTGTGATTCAAACCAACCTTGTGGTCTAGTGCTTTATCCTAGTGTGCCATACAGGATCTCTATAAATCAGAACCTGCTTGACTGTACTTAACAACAGAAACATGATGGAAATAGACTTTTACCTTTAACATTACCTATATTATACTTATAAAACCTATTTGATTTGCTAAGCTAACCAGTTAACACATGTGCAGTTTAACTATTTAGGAAAAATTGTATAGGTAAAAATAGTCATGTTACTGAGCACTTCCTACTTTTTCTTCCCTGGGGTTTGGGCCTTGTGCCCAGGGAAAACTACTGTGGATCCTCGAGCCTAGCCATCAGTTTGCATATCAATAGTTGCTGCCTGGGTGGATCAGGTGCTTTACCTTTGGGAGTTTCCTAGCTGGAAGCCAGGAATGTATGCCTGTAGTGCTAAAAATATTCTAAACTTTCTCTTTTTAAAAAATGAGGTTAGGAAAACACACATACATAGACACACATAAGCTTTATTAAAAATCACAAATCCAGAATTAGTTGCTTTTCTTAAAGATTGTTGTTGTTGTTAAGTGCCTTCGATTCGGTTCCGACTCACAGCGACCCAGTAGAGGGTTTCCAAAGAACGACTGGTAAGCTTGAACCACCAACCTTGCAGTTCAAACCGACTTTGCAATCTAGTGCATTAACCCACAGCGCCACACCGGGACTCCTTTCTTAAAGATAAGTAGCTCAAATACTGTGAGCCTGCAGAGATATGAGACCTGGAAGTCAGCGTTTTGAGTTTCATTGTTGTCTTCTTTCATCTGCCTCTCAGCTCCCCTCTTTGGCCTCATTGTTGGCTGAGGGTGCTCCTCAGATCCACTATTCACATTCTCTTCTCCCTCTTGCAATCTTTGCCTTGTCACAGTGCCTGAGAGTCTGTCTGGCACTGTAGCTCTCGCTAGGCTGCTCCAGTGCTGGCAGACGAGGCCCTTTGCCCAGAAGCCTCTCATCCAGGTCTTTCTGTTATGTTTGCCCCCGGGGTGCCTTAGCCCTTTAGTTTAAACACTTGGTGGAGGTAGTGTTTGAGCCTTCAGTTTCCACTCTGCCTTACTCATGGATATTTGTATAAGGGCCAAGAGGGGGTAGGATGGCGAAGATGTGGGGGAGGATGAAGTTAATGGAAGAAAATACAGCTTCTAAGAGCTGTGTAGCTTTATTAGTATCCGATAGGGCTTCAGTATCTGGGCTCAAATCCTCATTGGCTGTGAATATATCTCAGCTTTGACTCATTTTACCTCTGAATTCTCCTCCCTTTCCACTTGCTAGCCCTTTGAAAATGTTTGTAGGTGTAAGATTATTTGCAGAATGGATCAGTACAGTAGTCTTTATTTTCAGTAGTAAATGAGAATTGTTCCAAAAATTAGGTTTTGGTTTCTTTTCCTAACTAATTTCCAAAAAAAGGCTGCTTTTGAACCTCTTACTGTAACAATAAGTAAATAAATGGTTTGGTAGTGCAGGGGTCAGATTTAATGGGATTAGGGTGCTTGCTCAGGGTAACATTAGACTAGGTTTGGGGAATCGAGTTTGTCAGAATTGAGCATGTGTGCCAACCCATTCTCTTTCCCCACCATGGATGAGTCTGTGCATAAATGATTGATCACCTTTACCACCTACCCTTACTTCTGCCCCCTGCCCTCTGCCAAAGTGTTCTTCCCAGAGCTGATGGACAGCTTTGTTTCCTTTTCATTCCAGCTGCAGATGAAGATATCCTTGCTAAAGGAAAACAGTCCATCAAGAGTCAGGCTTTAGGAAATCAGAACTCAGAAAACGAGATTCTCCTGGAAGGCGACGACGATACTCTGTCATCCGTGGATGAGAAAGATTTAGAGAATCTTACGGGTAAATTCACTGCTTGTGCAGATTTTTCAGTTAGCTCTGGACCAGTGAGCATCTAATTACGTACTTTTTCAGCTGTGACTGCTAGGACTACCAACCTTACATCCACAATTACATTAATTAAAGATTGTTTTTTGTTCTCACGAACATTTTCTCCCTCACCTCCAACATTGGCTCTGTCTCCTTACCTTCCTCATTTTTTTGTTTTTGTTTATTATTAATTTTCACTGAAAAAGAAAAAAAATGAAAGCAGCAACAAAATATAATGGCTTACACATTCATGGGGTTATGAATTCACTATAAAATGGAGCTTGAAGTAAAAAAATAATTGCCAGTTGTTTTGTTAGTAAAGCTTTTAGGTGATGAACTATTTGTTGTATAAGTCTTCATGAGAAGCACACTGTATGTAAATTGAACTCTCAACATAAAATCACTTCCAAGGTGTTATGGCTCTTCACAAAATTCACATATTTTTATTTGGTGTAGGAATTTTAATTTGCACTTTGCGGATTTTCCGTTTTACTTCTCTTATGGGAAAAATGCTCTTGTGTAGGCTGAAATTTTGGTCATTCATTGACAGCTTAAAAAAATTTTTTTTAATGCCTACAGCTTTTTCCTTCAAAGAGGAAAATCTGAGAGAGTCTACAACAATTTCTATTGGTTAAAAATTATAAAATATTTTTAAGAAAAAAAAAAGCATTAGAAAAAATCTTTTATTAGAAAATCATCTGCAACCTGTGATACTGTGCAAAAATAGAATATAGTATCTTCTATGGTGATAAAACCTATCTGTAAAGTAAAATAAAATTAATTGGAGCATACTGTGAAGGGATTTCGGGTGGTAGTGGAAGGTAAGGTGGATACTGCTTCTCTCTAGTCTTTTCCTTCACATCCATTTATCCATTCCCTTCTCTCTCTCTCTCTCTCTCTCTCTTTTTGCATCTATTCTTGCTGCTAGTAATACATTCATACAGTAATAGAGGTGAAAGGGGAGTTTAATTATATAATCTTGACAATGGCAATAGGATTAAGAAGTAATACACACTAATAAAGTGGTGTGGTTTAGAAATGAAGTTGAAATTGTCAGGGGTCTCCTGTAGGACCTAGGATGCCCTAGCTCCTGCAGCTGTCTGCTTACCCTGTAATTGAATGTCTGAAAGTGATTGAAAAAATGTTATTTCTTTTCAGGATTACATGCTAATGTACAGAGGGCAAAGGGAGACAGCAAAAGAACACATAGCTGCTTATTTCATCCATTTATAGGGATGAGCTTTGGGAAATCATGGCTGTTCTGCAGCTATCTGCTGCCCATCTGCAAACACAATGTATTTGTACATTGGGAATAGAGGGCAAAACCTGCTCTGATCTCCACAGAGCATCCCTTCTATTGTCCTACTGGCACACATTAAGATTGATGTGAGATTAAGGACCATCACCCTTCTAACAATCGATGGAAATGTCAGTTCATCTGAATTTTGAAACACCTTTTCACCCAGTGATTACCTGAGTAGGTGAAACTTGTTTATAGGCACTATATTAATTAATTCAGAAGTATAAGTGCCAGTCTTCTCTTTTGCCGTTTTCTTTCCCAATAGGGTTAGTATTAATGAGGAATTGGCATGGGGCTTCAAATTCTTATTCTAGCTCTACATTAATATATGTTATGAAATTATTATTTTTCATCCTAGTTTAGATTTATATCTAATATACTTTATGCTGTTCTATCGTTAGAGAATCCATTGTTTTCAGTAGCAGTCTGATTTGTCTCTTTGATAAGCCCTGTGGAGATTTGATTATTCCAATAAAAATTCATTCACTTGGAAACCCACCCTCCAGCTGTTTATTCCCAGAGTCCCTGAACTACACTAATATTAGATTTGTAAGCATTGAACAATATTTAACAGTTGAAAAGAAGGTTTCGAAAAGAAGTGTTTTCACCAGTCTTTCATGAAGTAAAGTTATTATGGAAGAGATTTTGTGTCAAACTGGCACAAAATCTTTGTATCAGAGAATATGGTTTAACATTTCCCACATCACCAATCTTTTTGTATTCATGCTTCACCCAAACTCTAAGGTAACCTTTGGCCTTGGGATCCTATTGAGGCTGGCTGCTCCTGGATGTTTTTCCATGTTGTTTGATAGCCTGAGGCTTGTTTTCTAAATGGAATGTGGATGGACTTACTTAGGCAGAGCCACCTTCTTATCCAGAGACTAACACCAAAGCCTTGCAAACTCTAAAATAATTGCATCCTAGTTTACTGTGATTCATTAATCACATGTTACAAATTTAGTATGAGAATCCTGAATTTCCAGGTATGGAGCAGATATGTAAGTATAGAAGGAGTTGAGAATTAAAAAACAAAAACTCTCTAGCTGAATTGATTCAAGTTTTGAGAAATGTCATCCCAGATTGTATGACTTGTCTTTTTCTTTTGGCAGGTCCCATTAGCTTGAGCACACCAGCTCAGCTCGTGGCCCCCTCTGTTGTAGTAAAAGGCACTCTTTCTGTTACCTCTTCTGAACTCTATTTTGAGGTAGATGAAGAGGATCCCAACTTCAAGAAAGTAGATCCTAAGGTGAGGAGACATTTCAATGGCATTTTCTTTCTTATGGTGGAATGGTGGGCTACCATGTGGGTGAGACTGACTTAGGTAAAAGCTAGCAGGTCTAGTTTGAATTCCTTACTGAATGTTCTCTGTTCATATGCAAGGCAACTTTTTTTTTTTTTCTTTATAAGCTTATGATTCCCTTAACAGCTAGTTAGATTATTGAAGTTCATTTAGATCCAAAAACAATTTCCACTTAATTGCATTTATCATTAGCTCATTTGAGGAGGATAAGAAACCTCAGGGATCATTGTCTACAAATATATTTTTGCCTCAGAGGGTCCAGGGTGAATTAAACTGCAGAATTCACTGAGATTGAAAGTGGAATTATTTTGTTTAGCCTTTATGTTTTCTGGGTCTAATACCAATATATCACTCTCCTTGCTTTGTCTCCATGACTTACTACTCTGTCGCGCACACATGCATGCTTTTTGCATGTGAGATACCTCTGGTTCCCATTACCTTTAGTACATTTTACAAGGCACTGAATAATTTCCTATTATTAAATGAAAATGTAATTTCCCTTTTAAAATGTATTTCTGATTACTTTTTAGACCCTAGTGACTTTATTTTTACTAAGAAATGTGTCTGGCATAACCATAAAACCAAAATTAGGTTTATTTCAAGAAAGTGAATGGTAAAGTTTATTCAAAGAGTAAACAGACTCTTTAAAAATGAGCAGAAGAGGAAACCTGTAGAAAGAGAAGTGGTTTGAAAAATCATAATTATTTCTTTGATAGACTAATAGCTAACACACTTAAACATACACACACACTTTCTGAGTTTACTGGAAGAAGAGTCTTTGGGGTTTTTAGAATATATGTGAGTTATTGAATCTTAATCATTTGAAAGTATTTCAAAGTCGCTCATGATAAAACTGTTATAATCTTATTTAAAATCTTGCAATCAAATATCCTGTTTATACATGCCTCCTGCATTTTGGTTCAATATTGCTGCCTTTATTAATATAGGATATAATAGATTTTATGACAGAAGGTCTGTTATGAAACTGTTGTTTTGAGGTTGATAATTCTTCTAATTCCATGTAGAAGAAACTTTATGTTAGCTCTGAATTTACTTATATCAATAAGTGTTTCTACTTTGTTATTTGACTAAAATATCTGAGAATGTGTTTTAGTTTCTTTAGGAAAGGAAGGTAACCAACGTTATTTAAACTCTCTTACCTTGTAGTTTGTGAGTTTAAGTGACTTAAGATAATTCAGAATATCCTATTATGCTTTTGAATACACATGTCTTTAAAATCTGATTTAATTTAAAGATGTTTAATGAATTATTTAAAAAAAAAAAATAGAACTCTGACTGTCTGAGTTTAGGCTCTGAAGTTATTTGCCCCTTTAGGTAAGGTTATAACTTTTATTTCTCTCTCATCTTATTCTATAGCCTCATTAAATCAATTTTCACCCAGTTGCTTGTGAAATACTGGATTGCTAAGCCTAATCATAGAAACTAAGCATAGATCTTTGCTACCTGTGTAGCACTCCAAAAATCAAAGCTCTTGCTAATTTTTATATGAAAAAATTTTCAACCAAGTATTATTATTATATATTTTGAAAATGTTTGTATAAACTATAGTGCTTTGTTTAGTTTGTAAATGAGGAAATTTTTGTTGTTTCAGTATTTTTGTTGTTGTTGTAATTTAATGGTATCTGCACTAAATTAAATAAGGATGAAAAGAAGATACTGAATTTTTGTTTCTCTTCAGCATTCTCAAGACTTAAAAACTTTTTCTGAGACAGTTGCAGGGAGATTTGTGTCTAATGATGTAATACTTTTGTGAGTTAAAAAAAGAGATCATTGTAAGATGCTGTTTTTATCTTTTAAACTAAACACTTTACCCTTAGATAATTTCATTTATAAATGTAATTGCCTACTGATTTATTTGAAAATGCTGTTAAGAATCAAAACATTTTCCCTAGAGAGTAAATATGTTTTTGTTATTTAAAAAAAAAACAAGCAAAACAAACTAGTATGTTTGGCTGAACCACTTAGTATTATTATGGTGAGCTTATTTTACACCTATAGGATAAGAGATTTGAAAAATAGATATAAGTAATATTGAATGGAAGAATAGAGATGATTCAGAAATGATAAGGTCAAAGTTATATTTCTACCACTAAACCTCTTTTACCAGGGAATAGTATTCTTACAACTTAAGCCTGTTTTGTCTAGTGAAGTAGGTTTCAGTGCCTCAGTAGTTTCCTTGTTTTTCATCCTTCTCTGTTATCCTGGAGCTCATCTCTCTTGTACCTCCTCCCCCCTCTCAAACTTTCTCTGCTCTATAACTACTTTTCAGAACATTTTTTCCTACAGCTCTCATTAATGTATTTTCTCAATAAATTAAGAAACTGTGCTAACTTCAAAGAATACATTTTAAATATTAAAGGGTAAGAGCTGACATACATTCTGTACCTGTGCCTCTTTATTAGCATGTCAGATGGCATATGTAGTTGCCTTCAATGTGAAGAACACAACACAGTTCATTTGGGGTGCTTTTAATGTTTAATTTTCTCATCAGTTATATTCTTGCCTTAAGAAGAAACCTTTGTTAAACTGGAAATGTGTGCATTGGTTGTCACTTCAGTAAAGCAGAAAGGGAAGGGGAAGGTAGTTTTATTATTTGTAAATTCTTGAAACGGCAGTTTTCTTTGGTCATAAAAATGGTACAGATATATATTTTTTGTGTCTGAATTGCACCTAAAATTTTCAGAATTCTTGAAATGTGTTTTTTAAAAAAAGATAATAGTTGAAGTAATTTAAAAATATGGGTTCACATCATCACCATGTAGGTGGGTAGGAATACTTGCAGTAACTTCTTTTGTTGGTGGGGCTTTCTTAATTTTTATCAATTAAAGTTTAAATGGAACAAATGGTTAAAAGTATTAACTATTCATAAAAAGACCCCTAAACATTTCCTTTCCATTATCAGACTCAGATTGAATTTTTAGATTTAGGATATAAGAATGTAAATCTCTTAATTTTTAATGTAAAATAGTTTTTATTTATATTTCAAAAGTTGGAACAGAATTCTATTCTTTCATACTAGTTTCTTTTTTGCAGGTGTGAAATATTACTTTTAAGCTTAAAATCCACAAAACAAGTATATATTATAGTTGGGTACAATTATATTTTTCTAGATAGTAGGGATTTTGTTGTGAAATTTTATGGTCAAATGTAAAAAATGGACATTTGTAAGATTTCCAAATCAGAGTTTCAATAGAAGCTTTTTACGCTTCAGTTCCTCAAGTTTAACATCTCTTCATTGCAAATGATTACTGTGATTTCACCTGCCTTCATATAAGAACAATCCACAAAACAGCCAATGTAAAGTTAAAGTAATATTTTTATTACTGTTTTCAACAAGACTGGTTAAGGTGAGGGTAGAGGTGCAATAGAGGGAAGGGCACAATCTGACATTGGCACTGAGATACATTTAACATCAGTAAATCTGTTTTTAAACAAGAAATTTTACATATAGTTAAATAATTTTTTTTCACTTGGTGACACATCCAGGCAACCAAAAACAAAAAGAAAGGAGAGAGAGAAAATTAGAGAGAGAGCGAACAAGAGAGGGAGAAAGGAATAGAGATAGAGAAGAGGGAAAAGAAGAACAGAGGGGGGAAAACTACTATACAATGATTTGAAAATGTACCTTGGGTTTCATTTTGTGGTGGTAAAGCCCGATTGCTTCTTTTGTGTGACCTTTTAAATTCACATTGTTTGGAAGAAAAACGATTACTTTTGTGCAAGAATGTGAAACATTTTTTGTTTGTTCTTTCGCCCTCTTTTTGTTTGCTTTATTAATTAACGAAGCTCTTCTGCCTGGTTCATGCTTCTTTCAGGTGGCTTAAGTAAAAGTTTGTGTCCGAAGTTTCCGATGTTTGTCGCTGAGTTGTGTGTATTGTGTGTATGCAAGAGGGTGCAGGTTAGTGGTGCTTTTCAAGCAACCCTCCAGCATCCTATAGTTTGTCCAGGCTTTTGGGATTGGTGAGAATCTCCCTGGCTAACCTCCAGGTCTGCTTGGCAGCACTCTCCAGGGCCGAATGAGGTTTGCCCTGAAAGAGGTCGAGGTTGGGCAGAAAGTAGTGAGGGCAACGGCGGCATTGCAGGCAAGAGATGAGCTGCAGCAAGATCCCATTGAGCCGGTCGCCGAGGCACGCCTCGTCCCAGTCCGTTTCCCGCGGGTGTTTCTCGCACTCATACAGCAGCAGCGTCTTCATGTGGTAATTGTTGAGTGGCTGGCCGGGCAGCTCCAGGTGGCGGTCCCTCAGAGTCTTCAGCACCGAGAGACACTTGTTTCGACAGCCACCCATCAGCAGGCGGTTTTCCGCCTCTCCGAACTGTAGCACCCAGGCGTCACTCTCTGCCGAGCTCTGTTTGCCTGTCAGCGAGTAGCACTCCTTGGAGAGCAAGTTGAATCCTTCGGCCTTGACCTCCGCCACCCGATTGGGGCCAGGCCAGGGGATGTGGGGCATAGGCCACTGAGCTGCGCTGCGAGGCCAGATCCCGGTGCACTTGAACGCAGGAGTGATCTGCACCACGTAACGCTCTCGGATGCGTAACTTGACCTCGCTGGTATCAGCGATCATCTTCACCACATCCCGATAGCTGCACTTGTCCACTGCCTGTGCCACTAGCGTTTGGAAACGCGAGCGAATCTTGCGCGCAGAGAGGTAGCCGGACGCTGTGATGAACTCAACCCAGAGAGACATGCTCCGCTTCCGCCCATCGCTCAATTTGAGCACCGCACAGCCAGGCAAGGAGCCGTCATCCACGAAGTTGAAGACGCCCATCTGATTTAGGTACAGCACCACCTCAAATTCGGTGGGCGAGATGACCTCCAGCCCCTCATAGCGGGCATCGATCTCGCTCAGGGAACTGATGAAGCGAGGCTCCTGCACCTCCACTTCCTTTAGCACGTCCGAGACTACCTTACAGACTTCTCGGATGGTCTTAGCGATGGCCGCCTTGCGCGCCTGACAGCGCTCAGTGTAGTATTTATTGAGCTGGTAAACCAGCTTGGCCTGAGCGGCGATCATATTGGGGCACAGGTCCGGGCTATACACCGGCGTCTCACAATACGTTGAGGGATCCAAGGCTCACACACGGGTGGTGGCCCAGCGGCTTGCAAAAGAGGTGGTGCGCTCCCCCTATGCCCCACTTTCACTCTTGCCTTCCACCTGGGTAGACCAGTCGAAGAAGCAATTGTTGCCAGGCTCAGCCTCTTGAAAGCTCTTTTCTTCTCTGGAAAATAAGAAAAAAGGCGATCTTTGAAAAAGAAAAGTACCTGCTGGTACTTTTTGTTTTCTGTTTATATGTAAAATGAGGATGTTGCAGTGTGACAGATGAAGGGTAGGAAAAAAAAAAAAAAATCAGGTTACCAGGGGGTTAGACCTGATTGTTGCATTCGGTGGACGTGATTGTCCAGAAATCTGACAATCGGATCTCTTAAGTGCCAAAGTAAATTTAAAGATAAAAGCGAAACATTCAGTGGTTCATTCTTAAACTTCTCTTCCACACTGGTTGGACTCTGTGTAGGTGAGTATCTTCTTCTTCACCCTCACCTAAATGAAAGGTGAAGGGTGTAATTAATATCCTGAGAGCTGAGAAGTGCAAGTCCGTGGTACACTCGGAGGTTTGTCGGCGCCCCAAGCTCTCAGCGTGTTGATCTCGTCTCTTCTCTGGGGGGTCGTGCTGTAGAGGTTTTCCTCTTTCCTCCTGGAGCCGTTGTCTGGACTGGGCTTGTTTGTAATGGGTTCTTCTTTTCCTTCTTTAGGTGCAAACCTCTGAAAGTTGTTTGATACTCATTTCTGCTTCGTAATTTATAATTTTCCCCTTCACAAAATCTCCTTTAATGCGACGAAGTCGTTGCTTGCGTTGCATCTGGGTTGTAGTTGTAAAGATTCAGGGTTTTCTTCTCCTCCCCCTCTAGGTTGCTTATACAGATTCCACTTTCTGAGTCGACTTTCCCTCCTCCCCTGCGACGTCCCTTCCGTCTTTCCCTTCAATCTCTCTCTCTCTTCCTCTCTCTCACTCACTCTCTGTCTTGCTGTTTCCTGGAGTTATTTAGTTTATGAATGGTCCCAGGGCCATCATGAGGGAGGTGGAGCTTCAGTTCCTACAATCGCTATCCGAGCTGTCAGTGCTTTAGCCAATCCCAGAGAGAAGACAGGCACGCTTGGCGGACGGTAGCAGTCACCGCTGCACATGATAAAGAAAGGGGGCAAAGAGAGAAATAAGAAAATAGGAGGAGATGATACAAGCCAAATGCTTGCACACATTTCACAGCCGCCTCTTCTTTATCCTCCTCTCTTATCAATTGTAAGGAAGAAAAGAGAAAGTCTATATAGATGAAACTCTCTTGGAGATGGCTGGAAAACCAGGGAGAGTAGCAATGTGGTTCAGAAAGATTCACTTATTTGGAAGTTCACTGTAGGAAAGAGGTGTGCAAACTCTTTCACAAAAATCACTTTGGCTTAAAGGCAAATGGGAGGATCTTGGAAAGTACCTAGGGTTTCTCCTACAAAGTGTCCCTCTTCCCCTTTCCCTCTTATCCCATTGTTGCCTAGAGCCAGAATGATTGTTGTACTGTATATGTATGTGTACCAGTGGGGGGTGGAGTGGATCTAGAAAAAGGGTTTATAATCATAAATCTCCTTTCAGTGATTTCGATGTAATTTCAGTAATTTGGAAACAGGGGCAGGGAAAACATTGTCCAAGTGCCTTATTTTATAATTATTTCATAATTAAGATTCAGATATATTTAAGGCCATTATCTTATTGTTACGTAAAGTTACATAAGTTGTGAGGAAGGGTGTAAATTTATGTATGATCGAATTTGGTTAAGATATACTTTTAAACTTAAATAAGCTATTAAGTTAGTTTTGAAATAAATTTAAAATGGAAGCATATGTGAACCTGCTTTCAAAGTTTTCTTAAAATGTTAATGTTATAAATAAAATTTTTACTATTTTCTCTGGTAGTATAGAGTTTCACTTATAAAATGATTTTATTTTCACAATTGATTCTTGGCTTTTAAAAGACTTAACTACTGCAAAAATCTATAACAACCCTGTTATTGATTATACAGATGGTTTCCCTCCCTTGGCATTTCAATGAAACTCAGACGTGTGTGTTTCGTATATGCATTATCTTTGCAAGATGTGCCCATTGTAGTCTTTCTGACCGGTATTTTAATATTGAAGGTTTATGTTTGAATTTAAAGTGTTTGAATTCTGAGTCTTATTTTTAAGACATGTCGGTAGACGGGATTAATTTTTATTTGGGGGGTTATCTTCCAGCTCTGGGTTATGAGATAGGTGTAAGTATGGGTGAAGCCGTTTCCGCAAAGACTTGGTTTTACAACACCCAATTTTGGAAAGACATGAGAAGCCTTTGCGAGGTCTAGGCTTGCGCTTGCGGACCAGGTGAGTCTGAAATCAGTTGCATAAGAAAAGTTTATCCTTCTCCATTTACTTGATGTCAGACACTTGGGGCCCTTCGTTCTTTCTTGTGTCTGTGGCGCAGAACACCAGTGCTTCGTCTTCTTGCCTCAAAGGCCCTTTTTGAAGAACTAGTTGGCTTTAAACAATACTTAAATATATATATATATATATATATGTGTTATATATATTTAAGTATTGTTTAATGAAGACGGAATTATTGTTTAGGATAGGAACTTCAGTGGCAAGGGGTTGGGAAGAATAGTCAAAGTAAGTTTGTGACTCTCTAGGACTCAGTTGAAGACAATTTCTTAGGAAAGGCAGGGACTTGGGTTTCTTGCGGGAATCAGTACGGGTCCCGGAACGTTTCGCGGCTGAAGAATCGAGAGGAGTTGCGGCGCCCTCGGGATTTGCTCGAGTGGGGAGCCCGGAGCCTGTGGGTAACGGGGTTATTTCCCGTGCGGTCACATACTCTGGGAAATATTACTGGGCAAGAGGGGCACTTTGTTGCAGGAAGTTGTCTGGCCCGCGGGGAGAGAATCCTTAGCAGTTTCTGTCGAGGGCAGTTACTGGGCGGAGACTGATGGCGGGGCTAGAGGGTGCAGAGCTTTCCCTCCGGGAACCTCGAGGTGGCTGCTTCTCGTTTGCCTCTGGCCGGCGAGCGGCTGAGGCCTCAGGCGTGGACAGGACCAGCCCACGATGCTCCTGGGAGTGAGTGATTGCATACAGCCCTAAGGCTACCGGGCAGTTTATCCATTCTCACGGTTCCTGCGTGATGTCGGCGGAAAGGCTTTGGGGGCCCTCTCTACACGCACCTTCCCTGCTCGGGTTTGGCAGCCCAGGCTGCGCGGGTTTCCTTGTCACCACCTCTGGCCGGAGACCCCATTCCTCCTCTAACCCAAGCTCTGTGAAGCACGGCCAAATTTCATCGCAACCTTATCCTCCAGTTTTGCCAGTTTTCCATAAAGAGACTGAGGGATGATAAAATGTTACAAATATTTTGATTTAAAAACTATTCATTATTAATTTTCCCTGTGTAAGGTAGATGCTGTAGTAAATAATAAATCAGTTAAACAAAGGCGACTTTAATTTATTGCCCTGCTACTAATTAGAAACATCATTCGAACAATAAACTTAAACACTTCCAGCAAATAATGCTCCCTCTTTCTGGTTTCCCCAGCCTGCCTTCCCCCCCTACTCCCCCTCCCCCTTGCTCCTTTTTCGCCTCTGCTCTAAGAACAGCTTCAGCTGTGTGTTTGCGGATCCGCTCTTCCTCTGGTTGAATAATTGAAGGGGGAAACGGTATCTGAGGAGGCTGTAATTGAAGAGCCCCTGTCACCTCTGCTTTTATGTATGTTAGTATAGAAGTCCATCAGCAGCTCCTTGATGGTGTATTAAAACGAAGTGGCAGCCCCTTCTGCAGGAGATACCGTATTCTATTAAAGGAGACCAAGTGAGAGCGAGAAACTCTGGAGGCTAAAAGCCACTTGAAGTCTTCAGACCGATTGATCTGTATTCTCTTGTTATAATCCGTCTCATCATACTTGAGTTAATGAGGCAAAGGAGGGGGAGCGAAATCTGATGGTCCTTGACAAATTCATTAGGGAGGCTGCAGGACATTTTATTTGACTGTTAAACATCTTGTTTGTTTGGTTTAGGCAGTGCCAACATCAGCATGCTTCTGCCCAGAACTGTGATATTGGGCTAGCTATGGTGCCTTCCTGAAAGGGAAGGAGGACTGTCAGGCTGTTTTGATTTTATTTTGGGCTGTATGAAGTCATTCCTTCAGACGTGTCTAGGCTTTACCTTCACCACATTATATTAAGACTGTTTTATGAGGATGTCGTTGTTAATAGTAAGATAATACTAAGATGAACATGATTTTGATTATTATGGAATATGTGTAACTGTAACACTTTAGTCTGAAAATTCCTAATTCTTTAAATACTTTGAGTTAAACTATAGCAAATTACTATATTAGCTTTTGAGAAATGTGATTGTTTAAGGTCCAGAGAAGTAGTCAGATTACAAATAACAACCTATTCTTATTTATTCATGATTAGATAAACTTGTTTGTTAATTGAATTTTTTCCCTTGTAGTGAAACATAGGAGTTACAGAAACTTAAAAAAAAAAAAAAAAAAGCTATTTAAACAAATATGATAATTTCTAAATAAATTAGCATATTTTAATTTCAGGACCTTTTTATTCTGGGCATTATGTAAACTAAATGATGCAAAAATAAGGTGATGATAGGATGAAGAGACTAAATTTAAAAAGCTGAAAATAACTTGTGATTAAAGACCAGTGGTTAATTAAGCTAAATACTAACCCTAAAATATTGCATTCTAAAATAATATATTACTTGCTTTTCTCAAAATTATCATGAGAAGAAGTAAACATTCAATTGTGTAGCGAATCGGTTATATTTTTTCCTCAGCAATTGGCATAAAAAGTCTCAGCTTAAGTGCTCTGAGAAAGAACCCTGTCTTCCCATTTATAGGAAAACAATATGGGAGAAAAAAAGAAGTAATGCCCTTTGCCTGTCATTTTTATACATTCCTGTACTGCTGATGAAACTTGAACTGCTGCAGGGAA